TAGGGAGGGGGTGGGGTAGGGAGTAAACAATAGAAGAGAGCCCGAAGAGAGAGAAGAGCAGTTGGAAAGACAAAGGAGTTGATGATGATCTGGCTAGGAGGGTGAAGACTTGTTAGTGGGGACTGTTAGTGACTAGCAATAGGTAGTGTGTGATGGCAGGCTATGTGATAACAAGGCCTGGTGTGTGGGGTAGGGGGCTAGTACATGGCAGAGTTTAGGCCCTAAAATTAATGAACTCGATATTGAGTCCGGAGGGCTACTGGGTCCCCAAGCGGAAAATGAGGTGTTGCTCTTCCAGCTTATGCTGAGCTCCACTGGAACACTGCAGCAAGCCGGAGACAGAGATGTTGGCCAGGGAACAGGGTGGGGTGTTATAGTGGCAGGCAACTGGTAGCTCAGGGTCTTTTTTGTGAGCAGAATGTAGATGTTCTGCAAAGTGGTCACCCAGTTTATGTTTTGTTTCCCAATGTAGAGGAGACCACATTGTGAGCAGCGAATGCAGTAGACTAAATTCTGAGAAGTGCAGGTGAAGTGTTGCTTCACCTGGAAGGTATGTTTGGGCGCTTGGATGGTGGGGAGTGAGGAGGTAAATGGGCAGGTGTTGCACCTTTGCTGGTCGCAGGAGAAGGTGCTGTGGGGCTGTGAGGGGTGTTGGGGGTGAAGGAAGAGTGGGCTGGGGTATCCTGGAGGGAATGGTCCCTGCGGAAGGCAGACAGGGGAGGGGAGGGGAATATGGTTGCTTTTTTGTTAATCAACCTGTTCAGAAATGGTCTGGATCCCAGGCCATTCTGGCTCAGAGTAGAGACATGTGGCTACCTCTTAACTGCCCTTTGAAATGACCTAGCAAGCCGTTCAGTTCAGAAACAATTAGAGATAGGCAAGAAATTCTGACCTTGCCAGCACTGACCATATCCCATGAAAGGATAGAGAAAAGTCGTTTAGTCGCACTGAGTTGCAAACTTGACTTCCTGACACTGAAAGTGGCAACTCTTTGCCGATTTCCTTCAATTGCCTTGAACCATTTTAGACTTGCTTGATTGCTTGGTCTGATGTTGGAGAACTATTGCAACCTGCAGAACCAAGAGCATGGATTTTGAGCTTACAGCAAGGCAGGAGAACCAGCACCGAGAATTGGCTGTCCATTGTGGAAGTGACACAGTCAAGGAGAAGCGAGCCAGGCAGCCATTGATACAGCCTAATAGGGTTCTCTGCATCCTACACCTGTGAATATCCTGTTTAGGCTGGGTCAGGTAGCAGATCCATATCAGCATAACCCGTTGGACAGTATTGCTCTGGAATCTCTGGGAACCAAAGATTAACTTCCAGGACGACCCAGAGGTTACAAATAGTGCAGGTACATTCGAAAAAGAAATAGTGCCTTTTGCCACCTTAATGCCCCAAAAGCAGGTCACAGCTGATGAAGCACTTTTCAAAATGTATTTAATATTTGTAATGTCAGAAATACAGCAGCCAATTTGCTCACAGCAAGCCTCTCCAACTGGCTGGACTCAAACTGGGACATGCTTTGTCTTTGACACTATCATACGGGATGTACATTAAGCCACCTATAAACAGCAAAATTGTTATTTTTGCAGATTTATGTTTGAAAGCTAACAATTGCTATTTCTTAACAGGTTCTTCTTGCCAGTAGCTTTGTGCCATTCTATGCTGGGATTAAGGCTGTGGAGTATAGAGGGGAAGTGAGTATGCATTGGTTTCTCTGTAATAGCTGAGCTTTATTCTGTGCATTTTCTGTTCAAACTTCATCTGGAAATATAATGTATAATTTGCACATGAGAACCTGTGTCTGCTGCAAAACAGACAGCAGTTACTACGGAAGTGAACACTTGAGGGCAGACGCACAGCAGTTTAGAGCAGGAGTTGAGTAAATGGAAGCAAAAAGCAGGGCGAAGCCTTGCAGAGGTTGCCAAAATGTAACCTGGGGAAGCTGTCAGAAGATTGGCTCCGCTGGGTGGCAGGAATAAATTTCGGGCCAGAATCATACGGTGTAATTAATTAATAACAAAACTGTTGCTTGTACTGAGGAAATTCCTTTATCTGCAGTTTGATGGAGGTCTTAACCTGCTCGCTGTCATAGCACAGGATAACTTGCATCGTTTCAGTCTGTTGGTAATCAGACAAACTGCTCTTCTCTTGCTCCTTCCCTCATTCTCCATTGAATTGAATGATTTATTGTCACTTGTATTTAAGGGAAAATACATTTGTATTTCATTTGTTAAAATGCAGTTGTATTTTATTTGATAAATATTTTATGAATATTTACTTTATGAATATTTTGTTTGATCACAGCGTTGTTAAATCCCTCAGTACAAGAGGAGACCTGTCAGCCCATTGAGTCAAGGCTGGCTGCTTTGTAGAAGCCTATTTAGTCCCACTCCCAGCTCCTTTCTCATAGTTGCACAAGTTTTATATTGCTTTTGAGTGTTTAGCTAATCCTACTTTGAAGATTTCCATTGAATCTGTACGTGACCTGGTCCCAGGTTTTTTTTCTAGGCGTAGATCTGAACTTACTTTTGAAGTCCTAGATAGAAGCACCCACTAGGGATGCCTTCTGCTTCCTTAGTTCCCCAGACAAATTAAATTGCTGGCCTTAAGGCTAAGATTGGAATTAACATGAGGACAAAACATAGGCCACCACAGCATTGCATTGGTGCTGCATTGTTGCTGCAGTGCACTAGGCCACCTTGACCCAGTTGATTACAGATTTGATTTGATTTATTGTGGTCACATGTACCTAAGTACAGTGAAAAGCTTTGTTTTGCGAGCAATACAGGCAGATCATAGCAAACAAGGGCACACAGATCATAAGGTGCTTAGACAGAGTGAGACATACAAGGCAACGGCTGCACAGGAGGTGAACAAAGCAAGATCAACTTTAGCAAGATCAATATTATTTGAAAAGTAATCCAAGCGGAGGTCTTCAAATTCTGTGCCTTATATTTTATAATGTTCTCCCTTCCCCCTCCTTAAACGTTCTAACTATCTTCCTTTCTGATCCTCTGCTCCTGGAAATCTTGAGTTGCAATGATGTTTGAATCGAAGACTGTCCATTGCACTGCTCAGCATACTGTTCATGTTAGAATGTGCAGGTTTTTTTCTGGCCAGTATATAGCTAGCTCCCATGCTCTTAATTGCTCAAGCAGATTGTTCCTCAAAGCACAGACAACATCATTGACAGTGCAGCACCACTTCAGTGTGTTGTCTCAGATCGTTAATTTTCAACACAGAATCATTGTAAGTTTTCAGCACAGGAAGAGACCACAGTCCATTGTCTCTGCACTGTCTTAAAAACAAGCCGCTTGGCCTGATTCCTTTTTCTGGCATTTGATCTGTAACCCTGCAGGTTACTGCATTTGAAGTGTGCTTCCAGATGCCTCTTTTAAATGAGTCAAAGATTTCTGCCTTTCCTACCCTTTCAGGTCTGACTTCCAGACCTGTACCACCCTCTGGGTGAAAAAGTTTTCCTTATCCACCCTCTCAACTTTTTATCAGTTCCTTGAGATCAGTGCTTCCTAGTCGCTGACAGCTGTGTTATCTGTAAATAGATACTTTTCACCCGCTCTGTCTGGCCCCCTCTCAATTTTGGACACGTCAATCAAATCTGTTCTCAGCCTCCTGTGTTCTGGGCAGAACATCCCCAGCTTATCCAATCATTTCTTATTAGCTGCACTTTACCAGTCCTGGTAAACCTCCCCTGAACTTTCTTTACCATGATTACATCCTTTCAATAATGAGGTAATCAGACTGCACACATAACTCAAATTAACTAATAATTTGTACAGACCCAGTATAACTTCCCTGCTCTAATATCCAATTCCACGGCCAACGAAGGAAAGGATTCCCATTTACGTTCTTAGCCACCTTACAAACCTGTCTTGATCCGCACTGGGCCATTGCTTGCAGGCGTCCCTGCTTCAAGCCATCTGCCCCCGCTTCGGAGGCCAGGGCTGGGTGTCTGAGGCTGAGAGAAGGGAGGAAAAGAGGGAGAAAAAAGAGAAAAAGAATGGGCGGAGCCGACGAGATCTGGCTGGAGCATCCAACCCTGCTGCCATCTTACCGGTGGCAATAAAGCTAATTCAGTTCAGTTCAATTTAGGAATAGGTGGGCATTCATTCCAAGGTTCCTCACTTCCTGTAAACCTCTCAGCATTCTTCCATTAATTGTGCATTCTTTTGCCTTGTTTGACTTCTCAAATGCATCACCTTGCACTTCTGTAGGTTGAATTCAAGTTGCCACTTTTTTTTTCTTTATTCATTTACGGGATGAGGGCTTCGCTGACCAGGCAGCATTTATTGCCCAACCCTAATTGCCCAGAGGGAAGTTAAGAGTCAACCACATTGCTATGGGCCTGGAGTCACATGTAGGCCAGCCCAGGTAAGGATGGCAATTTTCTTCCCGAAAAGGCATTAGTGAACCAGATGGGTTTTTCTAACAATCGACAATGGATTTATGGTCATCATTAGATTCTCAATTCGAGATATTTCATTGAATTCAAATTCCACCATCTGCCATGTTGGGATTTTCTGCCACCTGTCAGTCCATTGATATCATGCTTGTTGCCTACAGCTATCATCCTCATGGTCAATTACGTTGTCAATTTTTCTGTTGTCGACAGACTTTGTGATCACACCCAGTTACATTTACATCCAGTTTATGAATATACACACACAATGCAGGGGATCTAATATTGAGCCTTCAGAACACCAATGGAAACAAACAGCTTTCTAAGTTGCAAAATCACCTGGCAAAAATTAACCCTATGTTTCCTGCCACTGAGCAGGATCTAATCCCTAGAGTCAACACAGTGTGGAGCTGGAGGAACACAGCAGGTCAGGCAGCATCAGAGGAACAGGAGCAATTGCCAAGGACTGAAAAGGCATCATCCAGTTCTGAAGAAGGGTCTCAACCTGAAATGTCAACTTTCCTGGAAAGTTGTCAGGATAAGCCCAGCAGTTATTGACCAGTGAGTTTAATTTTAGTGGTGGGGAAGCTCATGGAGACAATTTGGGGAACAGAATTAGTAGTTACGTAGAAAAGGCGGGTTGATTAGGAAGATTCAGCATGGATTTCTAAAGGGGAAATCATGTTTAACTAACTTGTTGGAGTTTGTTGAAGAGGTAATGAGCTCTGTGATGCTGTTGATATGGTGTACATGGATTTTCAAAAGGTGTTTGATACAGTGCCACACAACAGACTTGTGAGGAAGGTTATAGATGATGGTTAAAAGGGACATTTAACAACAAGGATACAAAGTTAACTGAGTGATGAGAAACAGAGAGTAATGGTTAATGGATATTTTTCAGACTGGAGGATAGTTTATAGTGGAATCCCCAGGGGACAGTACTGGGGTCCCTATTTTTCCTGATCTATATGAATGACTTAGATCTTGGCATTCAAGGAGATAGTTCCATATTTGCAGATAACACAAAACTTGGAAGAATTGTAAACTGTGAGGATAATCTTGAACTCCAGAAGGATATAGATATATTGGAGGAGAGGGCAGATAGGTGGCAGATGAGGTTTCATGCTTGTGAAGTGATGCACTTTGGTTGGAAGAAGATTGAGAGACAATATAAAATAGGGAGTACAATTCTAATGGGGGTGCTGGAGCAGGGTGACCTGGGTGTACATGTGCACAGATCATTGAAGGTGGCAGGACGGGTAGAGAGCAGTATATAACGCATGCAGTGTTCTTGGCTTTATCAATAGAGTTTAAAGCATAGAGTACAAGAGCAGGAAGGTGATGTTAAACTTGTGTAAGACATTTGTTAGACATCACCTGGGGGATTGCGTACAGTCATTGTAGGAAATATGTGAATATGCTGGAGAGAGTGCAGAAGCGATTTACAAGAATGGTTTCAGAGATGAGGAACTTCAGTTTTGAGGATAGATTGAAGAAGTTGGAATTGTTCCCCTTGGAGAGAAGAAGGCTAAGAAAAGATCAGGTAGAGGTTTTTAGAATTATGAGTGTGTTGAACAGAATGGAGAAACTTTCCCGCTCATAAAATGAACAAGAACAAGGGGGCAGAAATTTAAAGCGATCTGCAAAAGAAGCAAGAGTGAAGCGAGGAAAAGTGTTTTCACACAAGTAGTTACAGTGTGGAATGTACTGCCTCGAAGTGTGGTAAAGGCAGGTTAAAGTAATGAAATCAAGAGGACTCTGCAAGATTATTTAGATAAAATTTATGTGCTGGGGTATGGGGAGAAGCAGGAGATTGGCACCAGGTCATGATGCCTATTTAATGAGCAGTGCAGGCACAATGGGCGGAATGGCTTACTTTTACACCTTAGCACGTCTTTGATTCTGTGATTGGCAACCTGTCCCATCACCTTCAATATTCAGTCTCTCCACTGTCAATGCACAGTAGCAGTAGATGTATTGTCTACAAGATGCACCGCAGCACATTCACCAAGGCCCATTAGACAGCACCTTCCAAACTCAGGCCTGCTACCGTCTAGAAGCCAAGGGAAGCAGAGATCATCATCTAACTCCCTCCCTTAATGGCATTGTGGGCCTACCTACACCAAATGGACTGCATGGTTCAAGAAGGCAGCTCACAACCACCTTCTCAAGCTGTGCTAAGGATAGGCAATCACATCCAGCAAATCCAGAAATAAATAAAGAAGTGCACTCACATGCTTCGCCTTGAACTACTCGTTACAATAGTGAAATAAACAC